TTTTTTTTTTTTTTTTTTTTTTTTGCGGTACCTGAGATCAAACTTAGGACCATGTGCTTGTGAGGCAGACACAGTGCCACTGAGCTAAATCCCCAGTCCATCATAATTAGTATTCTTGAACACAAAACAACTGTACATACACACCCCCCTGTGTATATGTATATTATGTGAGTATATATACTAATATAAAATTAAGAATATAACATAAAAGGGGAGCTGAAATAAAAAATAAAAATGGAAGACCGAGGAGAAGGTACAGTAGGAAGAATTCATATATTAACTTCTCTATCTGTACTGTGTGCCAATAAATACTGTATATACTAAAGTAAGTAGGTTAAATAATGACCTGCTTTACCTCTTTATGTAAGTGTATAAATATACACACAGATGCACACACATTTTTAACTTATAACGACCTGTGAATTAAAACACTTTTCTGAAGTTGAGTGATTACTTTGGTTCTACTTCAGTCTCTTCTGCAGTCTCTTTTTTCAATTACAAATTAAATGTAATGGCTCAAATTTAAAACTAATATATATCATATGACCTTTCTGTAAAATGATTTTATTACTCTCTGCTTGATACGTATGCACACAAATGTTAACTTTGGTTATTTCTGTGTGGTAGAATTTTGAGGTGATTAAAAAATTTTTTTGTGTGTATGCTGTGCTGAATTGTTTTTGTTTTAAAGTAATCATGGCAGTTCAGAATTTAAAAACATGCTCAGAGGCAAATGAAAGGTAATTCCACAAGTCTCCCTGTTGGGCTGCTGAGAAGTGGAGTTGGCTACATGAGAGAAGCCTTGGCCTAGAGGTTAAATTTGAGAGCGGCTGTGTATTGATCTCTGGAGCTCATAGGGATATAAATGAAATCCTCTGAAGGCAACTGGAAAGGGAAAGGAAAAGTGCCCGCGATGTCAGTCTGTGCTCTCCAACTTTTAGTGCAGGGATGGAGGGTGCTTCTGCAATGGAGAGGAGAGGAGTGGAGAGGGTTCCAGAGAGGGGGAACCCCGAGCACAGTGAGGGCACAGCCAAGTGCCCGGGTGGGAAGGAGCCAGGGGCTTTTAGTAAGATGCCCGCGTATGACCCAGATGCAAGGTTTTCCCACCTGGGCTTCCTTCTGTGGAGGTGCATGCATTGTGTGCCTCCTCCTTTCTTTTCCCCAAACCTCATAGGATAGAGAGCCTAGCAAATTCTTCAACTCCTTTTGGAGAACAAGACCTCTAAGAAATCTTGGGGTTTGGCTAACAACTGAGTCTTTTGAAGAGCTGCTGACTTCTAGCAAATAGGGACATCACGTTTGAAGAGCACTTACATGGTTTATGTGTGGGCCACGAGGAAGTTTCCCTTTGAGAAATGCTGTATTTGACTAGCAAGTTTAAAGAGATTAGTGAATATGTGTTTACTCTTTACTCTAACAAACTCAACTTGGCAAACCTTTCTTGCAAGTCTTTCTCCTGGTTGGTTGGTAGTCTCTCTTGCAAGGCTAAAAATTTAAACCTTTTCAGCCCTGTTTTCTGTTGAAAGGAGGCCAAGTTTGGTGAGAGGAATATAGGTGGTCCTCTCAGCTCTCCCCTTGAGTGCCAGCACCATCATGTCTCAGCTCTCAGTAGAGGTCAGGTCTAGAAGCAGGGCTGAGCCACGATCTGCCTGCTGATGACCTCAGGTTTTGGTGGATGATGATTTTCTGCCCTGTGCTGGGATCTGCTTCCATGTCACAGCCTCCCTGACGATAATCCTGTCATGCAGAGTGTGCCACCTCTCAGGTGTCTCCTGCATGTCCACTCAGCGATGACCCTCGATCCTCTGCCCTGTCCCTGGCTCACCTGGATGCTCTCTCCTAGCAGAAGGCATCCCCTACTGTCCCAGTGCTTGCACTCCTGCATCCTGCCCATGTGCTGATCTTCAGGAAAGGAAGTCGGGTTTTCAAGCTGTGCAGTGCATTTAGAGCAAGGGTTTGAAGGAAGTAGGTGTGGATGTGCATCTGATTAGTTTTCCGATTTTCTCCCCTTCTAGGTAATCCTTACTAATATTCAAAACAGAAGCCCTAAGCCTGGCCCTGCTCCCCACGATCAAGAACTAGGTTTTTTCCTAGAAACAGGACTTCAGAGAGCCCATGTCCTCTATTTCAAAAATGGGTAAGCTTCTTCATTTTTTCAGTCCACTTCCTAAGGAAAGAAGGTAGAAAGCCTTACCTGCCGTCTCCAGTTTAGTTATTGTCGTAAAGCAGTTCTAAATGGGAACTACAACTGGAGTATTTTTAGAAAGAATGAGCATCGACTCTTTTTTTGTCTCTTCTCCACCTGGCTCTCTTGCTTTCCTGTGAGATTTTGGGGGAGGTAGGGAGGAGGGTGCCTGTGTGTCTGTGTGCCTGTGAGCCCCAAGTTGGGAGCACCAAGACCGTGCGGGTGGGGTAATGAGGTCATGCTTCAGTGCCCTTCCTCCATGTGAATGGTGCTGCACTGGCCTCCCCACTTTGTCCAGGGAAAGCAATAAAGTGGAAACCCTGGCACACAAAGGTATCTCCCTCTCAATGGCTGATCCATTCTGAACATTGGATCTGCCAAATGCAGGTGGTCTTCATTGCCAGTGAGTGTGAGAACATTTTTCATGGGAGCTGCCTTTGAAAAGGGTTGAAGAACATGACTGGAGGGCAGCTCTCTGACTCACTGATGTCTTATTTTCCTTTTGTGTTGCTCTTGTGAGAAATGTGCTGATTCTGTTCCACATCTCTTCAGTTGTCCTTGTTTTGACCTTGTGCTGCAGAATAGATTGCATGAAGGTGAACAGTAGGTATTTGGTTCCTCCTCACTCTTCCTAGGCTTTGCATGGGGGGCACCTACAGGCCTGTCGCCTTCCTCTAGATTAGCAGCAGTCCAATAGTGCTTTGAATGGCAGAGGGGGCACAGCCCCAGCCTCTGGAAAAATGAACGAGGGAGAGGCTTCCTCTTTGTTTTTAAGAACTTCAAACCTTGGTGTGTAAATCACACAATTGGGATTTCCTCCCACCTGGTGATACAGTGCTGCTTGCATCTATTTTGTGGTTGTTGAGAATGAATGCTTATTTTCTAAATCATGTTAATCTGTTTGGGAGAAAAGACCTGCTTTGTTCTGAAGGCCTCTGGTTCAACTGACTACGGCCCATGAAAGGCCACAGTGAACACCCCAATGTTTGGAACAGCTTGGTGGCTTTGGCATGAGGGTGCTCTCGAGTGTGATCTCATCTACCGCTGCCAGAGATCATCTGAGTCGTGGTGCATGTCCCCTAAGCTGAGATTTCATTCTCTTCGTTGTTGTAGATAGAGGAGGTGGGAGGGCACATGGTGAGCTGTTTCTTCCTTTTCACAATAAATGGTGGTCATCACAGGAAGTCAACCCTTGCTCTCCCTCCCTCCAACCTGTGAGAGATGTAGTGAGATGGAATCAGTTCACTTGGGGCTGATGGGGGGAGACTCATACTTTCTATTGAGAATGCTCCATGAGATTGATCAGTGGGAGGGCTGGATAACTTATTTTTAATCTTTCCTTGGGGAGAAAGAAGCAGGACTGTTGGGCTCTGAAATGATGGCTATACACCGGAATCCAACTAAAATATAATAATGAGAGGCTTGCACCAGATGATGGAGTACATGCTGTAGATGGCTTTCTGACTTATTTCTCATTTTATTTTGCTTTAGTCAAGTTCAAGAAAAAATGCCCATTGGTGTAGTGGTAAGGGCTTGCCTTTCTCTCCTTTCCTTGTCCTCTTGCCTTCTCTCTGAGCTCTAAAGACCAGAGAGTCTTGAGGGGCCTGCTGCATCCACAGGCAGGCTTGACAGCAGTAGTGAGCAATTACTCTTGGGGAGGAAGAAGAAGGGGTTGGTGCTGAGACCATATAACGTAGGCCAAAGGAGAGAGTCCAGTGGGAGCTTTGGACATGCCAAGTACCACCAGGCTGCTCAACTCACACAAGTGAGTTCTTTAGAGCCAGAGAACTGCACATGAGGGTCATTTGTCTGAGGACACCAATAGCAGAATGGGAGGACTTGCTGTCCCTTCACATATTCCCACACTTCTGTCTTCTGATGGATTTGCTCCTTATTTGTCTCTTTGCACTTTTTCTACCAGTGTCTGGAGAATACAGTGGATAGAACCAATTAGTTTTCGATAGTAGGAAAATGCAACAGAGAACAGTTTGGCAATAAGAGGTGGAAACAGGTAAAATGCATTGTATTTCTTTAGAAACATACTGAAGTATATACACAGTTTTGGGGTTGTCATTCTTGAGGACATGCTAAGTTATAGTAATGAATCTTATTCTCTTATAATGCTACTACTACCTTTTCTGGAACTGGTGACCTTGAGCATATTTGAGCAAACTGATGTTAGGACCAGTTCCCAGGCCACCCTGAGGTCCTGGATATCAGTGACACTTTTTATGTCTACCATTGCCTTTTCTCCATCTTCACTGAGCCTCGCAGCATTCTTCCTTCCATGTCCACTGCCCTGCTATGAACTTGGAAGTATTAGTAGTATTCCCCAATTTTAGAGAGGAGCCCAAACTCAGAGGTGATGTGATTGCTGCAGGTCACACAGTGCCCTGGGTTCCAGGTTTTTCCTTCAGTCCTTTCACCATGTGGTATAAACAGCAAGTGACAAATTGTACTTTCCACTGATGATGGCGGTGGGCTGACTTACCAGTTGGAGCAGGGACCAGGTTAAGGCCCAAGTCCAGTTGGAGTGGACGTGTGTGGAGAAAGAGACACTATTTATTTGATTGCAGGGCCCCGTGCAGGTCACCGGGCCAGGGCTTGGAGGTAGGGCTGATTTCCAGTGACAGCTACCACAAGTAAACTCTGCTTGGGTGCATTGCAATTAGCTTCAGGGACATATACTCGCTGATGGCCCATGGGTTTGGGTGAGTGTGCTGGGCCTACTGGTGAGACTGCAGTAGGATTGGGGCCTTCAGTGGGCAGCACAGCGAATGGCAGAGTATCCCTTCATCCCGAGTTCCCTTTAGCCTTCTGAGAGGAGAAAAGTTGCTTCTTACTTGAGTGATTAGAGCCAGACTTGTCAGAGAGGCTTGGGGTGGCCACTCAATGACTGTACTTTGTTTTAGGAATATTTAACCATCTTTGTAAACAAAGAGTACGTGACACTTCAAGTACTCTTTTGCTTGCCAGCCACGTCAGGTGTACTGGGTGAGCAAGATGGTGGGAAGCGTGTTTTCCCCCTGGCTCTGACTGGTTTTAATTCAGGAAGGGTAGGGAAACACTTCAGCAAGAAGCACATGGTGACCAGCATGGGGCACACATACCTGCTGGGTTGTGCCATTCACTGGGGCACATCACTAAGTCCTGGGTAGGAGGCCGTGACTCAGAATAGCAGGTCAGGCACAGATAAGTAGATTTTGGGGACTCCCTGGGGGTGCTCAGTAGCCACGCCAAGGAAGAAAAGAGTGTTGAAGAACTTTTGAGTTCTCTTTTGATAGTCAAACACATAGACCGTTAATCACCACCAAATACAGGGGTCTAAAAAGTTTTTAATCTTTTCAAATAATCCCGCTGATCTTTGCACCTGTTCAGTCCTTCTCAGTGTAGCCCTGACTGAGAGAGAAGTCTGTGGGGCTCTGCTGTGTCACCTGGGCTGCTGAGGAGGGGTGCTCTGGGGCCTGGCCTCAGGTTCAGCAGTGGCTCCTAGGCACGTGTAACTGTGGAAGCCACAGTGGGGAGGGCGCTGGCCAGGAAGCCAGGCAGCAGAGCTATGTGGCTCTGCATTCTGCACTCCATTTACCCTCTTTCATCGATTGGAAGTGTTCACATCTTAAATGGCCTACTACTTTTTTTTTAAGTTCTTTATTTTAAATCATGGCCCCTCCAGCCTTTATTTTGGGGGGGGGTACCGGGGATCGAACTCAGGTCCTTGCACTTGCAAGGCAGGCAGCAGAACCGCTGAGCCACATCCCTGGCCCTCTTGGCCCACTACTTTTGAATTGTGAATCTACTGTGGTGAAGATGAGAGAATCCAGTCGTGTTTCCTGTCAGCACTTAATATGTACCAGTTGTCTGTACATGGCTCTTTAGGACATACAGACATGAAAAAGAAAAGGGCTTTGCCCTCTGGAAGTAATAGAAAAGGGCGAGAGGTGTACTTTGGCACTTTAAAAGTTCTAATGTGGTTTGTTAAGAGACTAAGCAGTGTAAGAACTCCTAGTCACTTTAAATAAACTGAAGTTCCCATCATTCAGTGAGGCCACTTGTTCTTTCATCTAATGAGTATTAATTGTGCACCTATTAGGTGCTAGGCCCTTAGGTAGTGAGGACATAGTGGTAAAGAGAAAGGACAAAGTCTCTGCCCTCCTAGAATTCGTGGAATTAAGTCTGATAGAGAATCAAAGATTCAACGAAGCAGTTTCAGGATAGTTTGCTCATGTTGTAACGGGGGTAGCCCAGATTGTCACAGAACCAAGCAGGAGGAATGCCATGCTGGGGTGGCCACATGATTTAGAAAAAGGAAGATTTCAAGAAGTGTTCTTAAAATAGTATGATGCAAACAGACTGGGGGAGCCGGAGGGCATCCCTGAGGTTGGGAGAAGGAAGGAGTTAGAACTGTACACAGTTTTGTGTGTAGTCTGTAGGTTATGAGGAGACCAGCTTGGCTAGAGAAAGGGCTTATGTCAGAACCAAGGATTTTTATTTAAAACTCTTGGCACAGGATCTGGCCTGTGGTGGGTTTGGCCAGTCATCCAGCAAGTGTGTTTGCTGGACTCTGCCATGTGCTAAGTACTGTGCTCAGTGTCAGCATACACTGGTGAATGTAAGAACTGCATTCCAGGTGTCAAGGAGGATGCTGTCTAGTGAAGCAGTCCCTGAGATGCGACCAAGACCGAAAGGACGAGAGGGGCTAACCAGGCCAAGGGCAGGGGAAAGAGTATTCCAAGCAGAGGGCTCGGTATGTGCCAAGGCCCTGACTCTGAGAGAGCTCAGAGTGTTCAAGATTATGAAAGGAGTCCAGCATAGCTGACACATAGCAGCAAGGGAGTCATAGGTCGCTAGTCTGGCTGATCCCCCAAAAGCAAGGTCTGCTGTGGCAGCATACAAGAGAGCATGGTGAGTGCCCAAAGAAAAAAACCCAAGTCACCAGAATAAAGGGCAGGTGA